CTCACCTCCCATGCCTCCCATACCTCCCCCGATCTCCCCCTCACCTTCCCCCAGACCTCCCCCTGTCCCCCGTTATCTCCACCCACCTCCCCCGATCTCCCCCTATCTCCCACCCCCACGAGGCGGCGTGGCAGACGCGGTACGCCGGGAAGAAGATGCCGTACGGAAAGTGAGAGAAGAGCCACTCGGGCGCGAGAAGCAGCGACGCGGCGGGCGCCTAAGCAGTAGAAGAACCAAACGATCACTTCCTTGAGACACGCACAGCTGCAGCAGCGACGCGGCGGGCGCAGAGGCGTTGCCGGGCACGCGGAGCGGGGCGGCGGAGACGGCGCCCCACGAGTCCATCTTGCACAGGTGGACGACCTTGTCGAGGCTATGGTCTGGCTTGAGCGAGACGAGCCTGCGAGATATGGGGAGATATGGGGAGATATGGGGAGATATGGTCTGGCTTGACCGAGACGAGCCTGCGAGATATGGGGAGATATGGGGAGATATGGTCTGGCGTGAGCGAGACGAGCCTGCGAGATATGGGGAGATATGGGGAGATGTGGTCTGGCTTGAGCGAGACGAGCCTGCGAGATATGGGGAGATATGGGGAGATGTGGTCTGGCGTGAGCGAGACGCGCCTGCGTGCGGAACACACCGACGTCCGGGGGCGGGAAGGCGGGACTGTGCAGACTACGGGGAGAGATGGGGAGAGATGGGGAGAGATGGGGAGAGACGGTGAGGTATGGGGAGAGATGGGGAGAGATTCCGCTTCTAAAGGGACGAGCCGCTGGCGCGCCGGCGCGACATCGCCCTGCTGCTGCTTGCGCGTCCATCGGCCGTCCTGCATGGGTTCGGGTACCGGGTTGGTAGGGTAGGATTCGCGCGCGGCTGCGCATGCGCGTCGATATCGGCCGTCCTGCATCCGCTTGGCTGCCTCCTGCGACCCCTTGTCTTTCTTGAAGCGGGCCTCGTAGAACTCGACGCCGGCCGCAAACGTGGGGGCGCCGTTGAGAGACGACGCGATGATGTCGTTCAGGTTGGCCTACCTCGCCGGCGCAGGAATGGTACGAGTGGTGAGAATGAGAGTGCGAAGAGAGGGAGAAGAATGGGGTGAGAGTCTTCAAGCACGACTCATACACTCATCACAACAAGAGTGACTCAGGCTGGCCTGCTCGTCGGCATTCGCAAAATGCGGCGGCGTCGACCAGCCCGAGGAGGGGAGCTCCTTGACGGACTCTGGCCGATAGGTGAACCGGTCGATGCGCCGGTTGAGCTCCTCGAGCACCCACGCCTAGGGTTCGGGTGCCGTGGGGGTAGGGGATGGGTTCGGGCACCGTGGGGAGGGGAGGCGAGCTCGATCGCCGCGCTGTCGCCGGGCGCCACATTCTGCACGTACAGGATGCCTAACGCGTGTTGAACGCTCCGAGTCGGCTAGGCGTTCGACCCGCCCACGCAAAGCAGCATCACCTCGCCGTGAGGCGGATCTTGTCGACTCCGGCGCGGACGAAGAGGGCGGCGAGGCGGAGCAGCTCCTCCGCCGAGAGGAGCCGCCGCGCGTCCGTGAGCGACACGCCGTCCGCGGGCACGCAGTACGAGCGAGATGCGGAGGTACGTGTGGCGCCGGCCAGCCGCCGCGGGTGGAGAGTTGGCCGCGCGAGGCGCGAGGCGAGGCGGTGCGGTGCCCACGTAAATAAGTTCCAGAGCGGAACCTTCCCAGCTCAGCCCCCGCGGCCGCCGAGACGGCGGCGGAGACGAAGCGGCGCGACGAGAGCCGCGGCGGCAATCAGACCGCGCCGACGAGCGGCCCGGCGCCGTGCCGCGCCGGGAGGGTGCATCTGGTGGGCTCGCTGCATCGTGGCATCGCGGCGAGAGGGGCAAGAGCAGGCAGAAGCGCTGCCGCGACGAAGCTGAGGGAGTCTGCCCGTCCGCCTCTGGGAAGAAAACACGGAGGCTTCGCGTGCCCGTGGCTTCTGGGGCATTCGAAGAGGTGCAACTATCCGTGTCGAAAAGTGTGAGAACCGTCTCTTCACACCTCGAAGCCGCTAAGTCATTTTTCCGCCGCCACGCCGCTCTAGCGGCGCTGCGCGCCGCGTTGAGAGCGCGGCGCGTGAAGAGGAGCAGACGATGCGTAAGTCTTTTTTTCGCCGTCAAGCCGCTCAGACGGCGCTGCGCGCCGCGTTGAGAGCGCGGAGCGTACAGAGGGGCACACGTTGCGTACGCAGCGCGAAGGCCGTCTCGTGAGTCGGCGAGCCGTAGAAAAGATATGTTTTCTTTTTCCCCCTTGTTTTCATCGGATGGCACAACGGCGGAGTAGTTGTCAGTCTCTTGGCACTTCTCGAACATGTTTTTGAGCCATCTCGCCGCCGTTGGCGGAGCTGAGTGCCGCCGCGCACACGGCAAATGTCGCACTCCGTGGGAAACGTCGGCGGCAACGCCGGAAATCATTTTTGAAATAAAACTCACCAGACAACAACGCCGTGTAAATGCCAACGAACCGTTTTGCGCTCCTAACCAACAGCAACACACACCCCGGCCGGAACTACTCGTCGGCGGATGTGGACCAGAGCGACGGCCCATCCGGCCCTGCATCATGGGATGCCCGGCTTGGGCGCCGGCGACGACGCGTACGGCCACCCCGAGGGCCTCTTAGCGACGGCAACCGTCGTGCCGGTGGCGGTGCCGGACCCGGTGGCGGGCGTCTTACGCTTGTTGCACGGGGTGGTGGTGGCGCCTTGTGGCAGCGGCCCCGGAGGCGCGGCCGGTCGAGCCGGCGCTGACTCCTGACAAATGCGCACAATCTCGCTTCCGTAAGTGTTCATCTTGTCCATCCCGATGCCGTTGACGAGCTTGAGCTCATCGAGGCTCGTCGGGCAGCGGGCCGCAACCGACCGCAGCACGGAGTTGTGCAGGACGTGGTAGGGCTCAACCTTGTCGGCCTGCGCCCTTTTCGCCCTGAAGGAGCGGAGCGCTGCGAGCAGGAGGCTGTCCGCTTGATCTCCGGCAGCCGTCTGCGGAGGCGCCGCGGGCCTTGGAGGAGGAGGGGCCGAGTTGGTCGCTGGCTGCCGGGCGCCGCAGGAAACGAGCTCCGTGTACGCAGCGTGCGATGTGTCGTGCATGTGACGAATGCGCGACCGGATCGCGCCGTTGGTTCGGCCGAATCGCTTGGCCAGCCTCGCCACGACGGCGTTGACCTCCTGAGTACCGGGAAGCTCGCCATCAGCCTGCAGCTGCACGTGGCAAAGTGCGTGCCAGACCGCCTTGCTGTCGTCGAGAGGCCAATGGCCGGGCATTGCTGTCAACCGTGGCCGATTGGTGGCGCGAAGGGCGGCTGTCAGCTAACCGGCGAGAGCGCGAAAGAGAAATGTGGCATTGCCTTCGAGGCAAGGAAACTTGAAAATTTATAAAGGAAACTTGATAACAGAAAGAAAAACCGGTTTTTCTTTGCTTTGGCCCGACGCCGGCTCGCGCTGTACGAGTTGCTCTCGCTCGCGGAGGAGCGTCGCAGTGTGCACCCACGCAACGCCTTCGCACATCCACACCACACTCTGCGTAGCCATGGCATTTCACTCCGTGTGCGTGCGACTCGCACTCGCTCTCTTGCCCTCGCCGCCGCCTTCGCCGCCGCCGCCTTCGCCTCCGTGACTTCGGATCGCTTCCCCATTTCTCGCACTGCCTCGCTCGCCACGTTCGACAACAGTGCACCACCGCTCGCTTCTCTCGCTCCCACTCACGCTTCGTGCTTCGCTACTAGGTTCTTCGCATCTACTTGGAGTGGATAGCGTCTGCCGCCTCTCGCTGCTCTGTCCGCTCTGCCACGCGTCGCTCTCCGCCCCGGAGGGATGGCCAGTTAGGTGTGCCAAGGTTGTGTGCGGTTAGGGTTAGCGGTTGCCGGAGCCGCGCACTCAAGTTAGGGTTACGTAGTAACACGCCGCGAGCGAGGGTTAAGCTAGGGTTATACGTCCCCCGTCCACGGCTCGACGAGGGCTCAAAAATCGATAAAAAGGGCCCACCCCGCGAAAAAATCGCGCGCTGCGCGCGCAGGAAGAGAGAGAAGGAGAGAGAGAGTTATTGCCGCCACCCGCGCACCCCCCTCTCGCCCGGGAGAAAGTTGACGAGCGGAGCGAGGCAACTTTCCCGGGGCGAGCGCCGGCCGCGCGCGAAAAACGGCCATTTCGCCAAAACGGTGGAGGCCGCCCCGCGCTACCGCCCCATCAAACCCGCGCCGCCTGAATCGCTCCGGAAGGCCCTCAAAACGTCGACGCGGGAGGGCGAAAATCGCCTCGCTTCCAGAGCCCGCGGGAGGACGGACCCCACGCCGCCCCACGAGCGACCCGCGCAACCCGCGACCAACAGCCGTGCGGAGGATCGGCAGGAGACGTCCGCAGCCCCAAGGGTCGTCCTCGTCCGATCTCACCATCGGCCGCCATGGCCCTCCCCGCGCGCGCCGCAAATCTCCAGGCCCCCTGCTCAACTTTGGACGACCGACTTTATTTCGGGTGCTAAAGCAGCTCGCACGGGCCCACCTCGCCGCCCCCGCCCCCGCCCGCCCCCGCCCGGCAGGCCCGGCGCCGCTCGCTTCCCCCGCGCACCTCACGGGGCGCCATGACACCGCCTGCCAGGCGGCCTGCAGCAGTGAGGGACAGCAGAGCTGCTACATTCCTCGCCTCCCGACGGCCACGGCGCCGCCCCGTGGTCAAAGCTCGCAAAACCACGCACGGCCCCGCCCACACCGCTCACCGGACGCCCGCTCGCGCCGCCCGCGGACTCCTCTCCCGCCAAACCCGCCCCTCTCCTAGCCCCTCCCAGAAGCCGCCACACACAGGCCTCGCCTCGCCTCGCACCAGCCCCAAAAAGTAGGCAGCCATTTCTGGGGCTCCCAGGCCATTCCCTATCGCTGGTATTTTTTTCCGGCGGAATTTACCGTCAGAACCGCATAAAAAGCTAGCAACAAACCCCTGCAGACGCATGTGAGACATGTGCCGAACTCCCCCCGTCGTGCTGCACTGCGGCGATCTTGGCGTGTTGCTCCGGCGCGCGCCCGTCGAGCAAGTCTAGTCCCTGCTCGTCGCGAGGGAGTGCATGCAGTCGCGCACGATCCTATCAGCGAGCAACCGTGCCTCGTCCAACGGCTCCTCCCGTGCAGCGGCTCAAGCCGCGCACGAGACCTGAGGTTCTCGAGCCCCGCCGCCTCGAGCGCCGGCCGCACGCGGCGTGCAAACGGACCCTTCCACTCGTTCCGCTTCCAGTCGTCGATCGGGAGCCAGCCGAGCGGCGAGCCACCGCCGCCGCCGCCGCCCGCCGCGTTGAGGACGAGCACGCGCGAGGCGGGTGGGGTCGCCTGTTCACAGCGGGCGTGCTGTGAAGAGACGCGGCAGGCAACTCGGGCGGTCGGGGGGGCGAAGGCGTGTGTCTTCTCGCCCCGTCCGACATGGTGATGAGCGCCCCGGCGGCCGACTCGGGCGCCACGCGGAGCGAGGCGGCGGCGATGTGGGACACCTGTTCATTGACGGCCTACTCACTGATGAATCCTCCCTTCACGGCCGTGAATACGGCGGCGGATGTGCGGCACGTCCGCGGGCGGGATGGAGGGGGCGACGGCGCGGTAGTCGATCTCGTACAGAAAGTCGACCCCGCTGCACCACGGCTCCTTGAAGTGCGGCATGGGGAGCCAGACGCGCTGCTTGTCCGGCCCGCACCCGACCTCGATCGCCCTCAGGTGACGCGGCTCGATAGCTCGCTCCGCCCAGCGCGCATCCTTTGGCAGCGGCGGCATGACGACGCGCCGGCCGAGAAGCAGGCCGAGCAGCAGCAGCCGCGCTGCAAACGCGTCGAAGTCGGACATTGAGGCGAGGCCCGCCCGCAGCATGTCTGGCCCGGCCTACAAGAGGCATGGCGAGATCTGGGGAGATCTGGGGAGGGAGGCCCGGCCGCAGCAGGTCTTGGCTTCGCCACGAGCAGTCGCTCTGTCCGCGGCGACACCCACGTCTCGGGCGCCACCTTAGGGGGGGGGGGGGGGGTAGGGGGAGATCCGGTGAGGTGTGGGGAGGTGTGGGGGAAGTGTGGGGAGGTGTGGGGAGGTGTGGGGAGGTGTGGGGAGGTGTGGGGAGGTGTGGGGGAGGTGTGGGGAGGTGTGGGGAGATATGGGGAGATGTAGCCACGTCGTCTCGTGAGGTGGGCGGGCTGTGAACAGCGCCTCTTCACACCTTGTCCGCCTCCTCATGCCACACGCCAAACGCGCGCATCACGCCGCGCCGCCCCCACTGCCCGTTCCGCAGCCCCGCCATGTGCACCATCACCGTCGGCACGCGGAACCCTGCTCACAGCCAGAGGTGTGAAGAGGCGCCGTTCACGGCCACGCGCGCCGTGGCCGGGGGCCGGGCGGTGTGTGGGACTGTGCGGGTCGCCAGGCATGCACAGCCGCTGCTCGAGTGGGGAGAGACCCTCCCACCTGGTTCACAGCCAGAGGTGTGAAGGTAAGTCCGCTATTCA